GAAATGCATTATGACTCAAATGACTACAGTCGAAGTTTAGTTAGTCTAAAACTTTAAATGGTTAAAATACAGCATAAAACATACAGCTGAACACAACAAGAGTACCGCGAACGGATGCATAATACGCCCATCTGACCCTATCCAATGCTTTTATGTTTGTTAAATTAAATCCATCTTGTCCTTCTTACACCCCACATGAACATCCAAGCCAAAAATTAGGACAATAACAGATGATCTGACTGAACTGTACACCACTGAAGAAACTTGCACCAAAACTCTTACTGAGAAATTGCGCAAGAAAAGTAAAGACCCAAACACGTCCAAAATTTACAAAAATAGAAATTATTTTCCCAAATTAAATCCATATTGTCCTTCTTATACCCCACATGAACATCCAAGCCAAAAATTAGGACAATAACACATGATCTGACTGAAGTGTAAACCACTGAAGAAACTTGCACCTAAACTTTAACTGAGAAATTGCACGAGAAAAGTAAGTCTCAAACACGTCCAATATTAACAAACAAAAGCTGTTGGAGAACAGCATTTCTCTTACCCTGGACATGTGTATCCGCACTTTTACAGGTGTGAGATTTCCTTGTCTCACCCTAGGGTTGAGACGGGGGGGATTCCCCTATTCATAACAATGGTATGAAGCCACGTCAACAATACAATGACATCACATCAACAATTCATCAATGTCACGTCAACCCTGAATTTAGCCTGAAACGTTGACACTATGATATGTATATGATACACAATGGGTGAACAGGGTAAAAGAAAAAGAATCATTCGCCACCTTGTGGTTAAGGTAGGGGAATCTAAAACCTCGGAGAGAGATTCTTAAGTTGCCAAACACTTGGCAAATCCTTGTGTTTGGCATTGAGAACCTTCCCCCTCGGGTTGAGATTCCCCTATCTCACCCCCAAGGGGGTGATAGATTCTATTAAGCTCGCTTATGTATGTTATTATTATACTGCAACTATCAATAGAAACAGATGCATAGTAAAACGTTGATATAGTGCCTGTCATTTTATTTGCCACCTCACTTACCACCAGGATATTTCAAGGACCGTTAATTGTGAAATGTTCGTATATGCGGATATACCGGAAGACTTGAGAAACATCGATGTGATGTGTGAATGTTAAGAAACTAACAAAGTCCAATAAAGCTGTTTTTGGACACTAAAATATGAAAATATGGTTTAACACATTGCTTTCACTCAATACAAATACTTCAACCTTATGATAGACAACAGCCTATTGCTGATGGTGGTCCAACACTTCCCAAAAATAAATTGCCTAAAAACTTTAACCTCAATCTTACCCAAAAACATTAATCAAGTCCAATAAAGCTGTTTTTGGCCCCTAAAATATACAAAATATTGTCCAGAACTGGCAGAACATTGCTAACACTCCATATAAATACTTCAACCTTATAATAGACAACAGCCTATTGATGGTGGTTGTCCAACACTAAACAAAACTAGAAAATGTCTGTGAGACATAAATGCCCCCGCTGCCATTTGAAATTAGTTTCAGTGTTCTATAAAAAGTTACAACCACTTTGATCTTGAAACCCTGAAACATGCACACACACAAGGTACTACACTTAAAGTTGATTTTAATATTCATATGTTTTTTTGTGTGTTATTACCATCTCCATAACATATTGAATGAAGTTGCTAAGTGTTTAAATTGAATCAGTAGATGATTTTCTATATATAGCAATAGGGACCTTGGCCTTGACCTTGGAACCCTGAAACACAACAATGTCCGAAGTATACTCATACTTGACCTTTGCATAAAGTTTCACCAAAATCCATGAAAGAATGATGTTGCTAAGTGTTTAAATTGAATCAGTTGATGATTTTCTATATATAGCAAGTGTGACCTTGGCCTTGACCTTGGATCCCTGAAATACAACGATGTCCGAAGTATACTCATACTTGACCTTTGTATAAAGTTTGACCAATATCTGTCAAAGCAGTATAATCATACTTGATTTTTGTATAAAGTTTGACCAAAATCTGTCAAAGAATGAAGTTGCTAGTGTTTACATTGAATCGGGATGGGACGATTTTCTATATATAGCAAATGTGACCTTGGCCTTGACCTTGGATCCCTGAAATACAATGATGTCTAAACTATAATCATACTTTACCTTTGTATAAAGTTTGACCAAAATCTGTCAAAGCAGTATAATCATACTTGACCTTTGTATAAAGTTTGACCAAAATCTGTCAAAGAATGAAGTTGCTAAGTGTTTACATTGAATCGGGACGGGACGTTTTCTATATATAGCAAGTGTGACCTTGGCCTTGGGATCCCTGAAATACAATGATGTCTGAACTATAATCATACTTGACCTTTGTATAAAGCTTGACCAAAATCTGGCAAAGCAGTATAATCATACTTGATTTTTGTATAAAGTTTGACCAAAATCTGTCGAAGCAGTATAATCATACTTGACCTTTGGATAAAGATTGACCAAAATCTGCCAAAGAACGTAGTTGCTAAGTGTTTAAATTGAATCAGTTGATGATTTTCTATATATAGCAAGGGTGACCTTGGCCTTGGGCTCCCTGAAATACAATGATGTCTGAAATATAATCATACTTGATTTTTGTATAAAGTTTGCCCAAAATCTGTCAAAGAATGAAGTGTTTACATTGAATCAGGACGGGACAGGACGGGACGGGACGGGACGGGACGGGACGGACGGGAGGGACATGAGTAACACTATATGCCCCCCCATTTTATGGCGGGGGCATAAAAACTTGCCCAAAAACTTTAACCTCAAATTTAACTAAGTGCAATTAAGCTGTTTTTGGACGCTAAAATATGAAAATATGGTTCAACACATTGCTTACACTTGATATAAATGACTAAAACTCATAATAGACAACTGTGTATAGAGTGTGATGATCCAACACTGTCTGGAAAAAACTTGTTCAAAAACTTTAACCTCAGAAGGTGGGACACCGGCGCCGGGGTGACTACATTGGCCCCCCTTTTCTCCGAAAAGGTGAGCTAAAAACTTAACGCTGATGCCGCCGCCAGAAAAGTAACACATAGGTCCCGTCTCCTCAACATCCGTTGAAGGCGAGACAAAAACCCCTACTTGTGATTCACTCATTCACTGAAATTTCCTGTCCCAATTCATAGTATCTATGGGGAGTGGTTCATACTTCTTGACTGGGTAGAATTAGATGATGGCAGGCGGTGGTGGTGGCTCTCAACCTGAGGGGTGTAATGACACAGGGTAGTAGGGACAGAGAGAGGTGTTACAACAGGGGGCCGTAGGGACAGAGAGAGGTGTTACAACAGGTGGCAGTAGGGACAGAGAGAGGTATTACAACAGGGGAAGTAGGGACAGAGAGAGGTGTTACAACAGGTGGCAGTAGGGACAGAGAGAGGTATTACAACAGGGGCAGTAGGGACAGAGAGAGGTGTTACAACAGGTGCCAGTGAGGACAGTGAGAGGTGTTACAACAGGGGTAGGAGGGACAGAGAGAGGTGTTACAACAGGTGGCAGTGAGGACAGAGAGAGGTGTTACAACAGGTGGCAGTGAGGACAGAGAGAGGTGTTACAACAGGTGGCAGTGAGGACAGAGAGAGGTGTTACAACAGGTGGCAGTGAGGACAGAGAGAGGTGTTACAACAGGTGGCAGTGAGGACAGTGAGAGGTGTTACAACAGGGGAAGTAGGGACAGTGAGAGGTGTTACAACAGGGGGCAGTAGGGACAGAGAGAGGTGTTACAACAGGGGGCAGTGAAGACAGAGAGAGGTGTTACAACAGGTGGCAGTAGGGCCAGTGAGAGTTGTTACAACAGGTGGCAGTGGGGACAGAGAGAGGTGTTACAACAGGTGGCAGTAGGGACAGTGAGAGGTGTAACAACAGGTGATGGTACAGTGTGAAGATGGTGGGTACAGGGAGGGATGGTACAGTGTGAAGTTGATGGGTACAGGGAGGGATGGCACAGTGTGAAGGTGGTGGGTACAGGGAGGGATGGTACAATGTGAAGGTGGTGGATACAGGGAGGGATGGTATAGGTTGAAGGTAGTGGGTACAGGGAGAGGTGGTACAGTTTGAAGGTGGTGGGTACAGGGAGGGATGGTACAGTGTGAAGGTGGTGGGTACAGAAAAGGATTGTTTTGTGAAGGTGGTGGGTACAGGGAGGAATGGTATAGTGTGAAGATGGTGGGTACAGGGAGGGATGGTACAGTGTGAAGGTGGTGGGTACAGGGAGAGGTGGTACAGTTTGAAGGTGGTGGGTACAGGGAGGGATGGTACAGTGTGAAGATGGTGGGTACAGGGAGGAATGATACAGTGTGAAGGTGATGGGTACAGGGAGGGATGGTACAGTGTGAAGATGGTGGGTACAGGGAAGGATTGTTTTGTGAAGGTTGTGGGGACAGGGAGGAATGGTACAGTGTGAAGAGGGTGGGTACAGGGAGGGGTGGTACAGTGTGAAGGTGTTGGGTACAGGGAGGGATGGTACAGTGTGGAGGTAGTGGGAACAGGGAGAGATGGTACAGTTTGAAGGTGATGGGTACAGGGAGGGACGGCACAGTGTGAAGGTGGTGGGGACAGGGAGGGATGGTACAGTGTTAAGATGGTGGGTACAGGGAAGGCTTGTTTTGTGAAGGTTGTGGGTACAGGGAGGGATGGTACAGTGTGAAGGTGGTGGGTACAGGTAAGGATTGTTTTGTGAAGGTTGTGGGTACAGGGAGGGATGGTTCAGTGTGAAGGTGGTGGGTACAGGGAGGGATGGTACAGTGTGAAGATGGTGGGTACAGGGAGAGGTGGTATAGTTTGAAGATGGTGGGTACAGGGAGGGATGGTACAGTGTGAAGATGGTGGGTACAGGGAAGGTTGTGGGTATATGAGGGGTGTTACAGAGTGTGGGCAATGGGTACAGTGATTAGTGGTACAGCTGGGACAGTGTGGACATCAAGATAATGGGGATGGTTTGTACAGGAAGTGTATTCCTTACCTTTTGTGATGAAATATGTGTTAGGAGTCCTGTTAAGTTTCTTAGCTGTCTCAGGTGTACTCCAGTCAACATCTAAGGCACAGTTCAGTCGCACAAAGGAGGAACACTAAACAGATTACAAGTTAATGATACACATCAGTCTATAAACTAAGAATACCAAATAACCTGCCCTCTCTACCTATGCCCTTTCAAGGTACATTGTAGTAGTAAACCTAGATCTCCAAATACCCTGATCTGTTCTGGCAGTTACCCACTGGCATAACCTATGGGTTACATTGAAAAATTCAAACTTTAAAGAAGCTGAAGAATGAAGATTACGTTACTGTGTGGTGTGTTTTGGACAGCGTCTGACCTTTAATCACATGTAACATTTCCCGTAATATCAAGGCAGTAAGTGATAAGTTACCTTTTTCACAACAACAGTCTCTGGTTCCTCAGATTTAGTTTTCTTAGCAGCTGGTTCACCATCCCCATCCTCATCCTTTGTCACAGGCTTTTTTTTAATTTCCCTGCAACATATGGCTACATCAACACAAAGCTAGAAATGAATAAAATAAATGTTAAGTGGCACTGCTGATTAGATAAAAAGTTATGGACGTTTTCACACAAATAACAGATTTAGCAGCTACACATTCGACAAGAGGGAATATAAATGGGTATGTAAAGCTGGGTTTACAGTCATTGCATTGTAATTCAAGATTACATTTAAGTAGTCCAAACTCTTCCCACCTTTTCTGAATTCATAAATCCACAAATAACTTACTCTGCATATTCATGTTCACCAAGATCAGAGAACATGTAGCCGTAGTAACCAAATACATCCCCAGCATAGAACTTTATTCCATTGTCAGCGCAGATCTTGTTGATGCGTACAAGTTGGGTAGGACCACAACACGTGGCACACACCACATCAAACTGTGTGAAGAAGTCTGTATCTTTGCTGGCTACACTCCCCAAGTCAGCAGTCACAGTTACCATTGGGTTGAGCTGCTGAGTCCTGTCTAAGGAACAAACAGCTCTCTGGAATAGAGTGTTTCTGGTGAATACATGGATGTTAAGAACATTGAAGAAACAAGTTCGCTAAATGTTGTTACATTCTTTATATTGGTTCTATTTTTGCCATTTTTATAAATCTAAAATTGATACAATATGTATTTAACTTTCACATTAAAAGACTTACATAAGATGTAAACAAATGATTACATAAAGAAATCAAAAACATATTTTGGTGACGTTATTGTGCTTGCATTGTGTGAATTTGTGTTTTTTTATTGAGTTATAAGTATACTGAAGTTATATGTTATGTCTGTATGAATGGTCAGCTGTATGACGTGTTTGTGTTGTGTTATAAGAGTGTGTCCTGTGTTTATAACACAACTGACCATTGCTGACTGGAACAATAATTCTTATAGGTCAGTTTCAAACATATGATATATTTGATGCTGACTTATATATATACTATATCATACAATATGATGCAATTGTAATTTTAAGTGAAATGATATAATAACAAAATGACTGCAAAAACCACAGTGAGCCTTGATTGCATCCATATGCAACTAAAAAACTTCTCAAACACCGCTTACAAGTGGTACTCTAAGCTTATTGGTAGGTATAATTAATGATACAGAGTAAAATATACATACATTTTTACCAACATCAGATCTTGGCAGCAAGAACTGAGAGCAGGAATCTTCTTCTGTTACCTTCATTGTGAATGTAAAAAACAACAAGGCATTACAAGTGATACGAATCCCCTCGCATTCACACATTGTGTGCCATACGTATGAGGAAATGAATAGAAAATTCAATGATGAAACAGTAACTGCTCTAGCGACTGCCTCACCAAATCCGCTGAGGAATGAAGTTGATAGAGCGATGACAAAGTTTTTCTATAAATAGTAAGTGACCTTGAACTTTCACGCAGTAACCCGCAATGCACATTGTTCAAGATATTATCATACCAAACACTTGTATCAAGTTTCATGAAATTCTGGTGAGGAATGCAGTCACTAGAGCGATGACATTTTTTTCTCTCTCTAAAAATGGAAACAGTGACCTTGACCTTCAACATAGAAATCTGAAATGCATACTTGTTTTAATTTAGGCATTGTAATATTATCAAACAATTGCCATACCAAACACTTGTATAAAGTTTCATGAAATTTCATTAAGTAATGAAGTCGCTAGAGCGATGACAAAGGTTTTTCTAAAAATAGTAACAGTGACCTTGAACTTCTTTCGCAGTTACCCGAAACGTGAACTTGTTCAAGGTATTGTCATACCAAACACTTGTATGAAGTTTCATAAAATTCCATTGAGAAATGAGGTCGCTACAGTGATGACAAAGAAAATTGCAACAAACTCAACTCTGATTTCCTTATGGAGATTTTTAACAACTAACCAAACCTTATTCTGTTAAATGGCTGCCTCAGAAAATGTGGAAATGTTTGATGAATTATCTTCTTCATATTTATAAATGAGTTGAATGGGATAATTTTGCAATGCTTTTGTTCAAGCTTGTTTCCTGGTTATTGATTACCAAGATATCAACAATGTATTTAAATTATTTTGCAAAAACTAAAAACCAATTTGCATACACCTAACCTGGACTAATTGCAAATTCCCAAATATTTCATCCTGAATTCAACTGGTTCAACAGTATTTTGGTTCCTGTATTTTACAGATCCTACTAAAACTCTGGGAGCGGATCATGATGATGATGATGATTGAAGTCTTTCAAGATTTAACAGCTTTATACATGTGTACACATTGCATTTTCTCATGAGTCAAAATCACTCCAGACACAAACTTGTGAAACTTTTGCATCATAAAAGAGCAGCACTGATAACAAATACCAGGATTACAATTACACATGTATATACTACAGTACCAATTAAACTAAGGCAAGTGAATGTGTACCTCGGTATCATCCAGCATGGTAAGAGACTTGATTCCAGCTAAAACAATGTTCTTGGCTACTTCTGCACCTAAACCTCGCATCCCAATCAAAAGCACTCTTGAGGCACGCAATCTAGAAAAAAAACATTAAATCTTATTTTTTATCTGATTGTTGAAAAGGTACATTTTCAATGTGATTTTGTATGCCACAAAACCTAGTCATCAAATTAACAAATAATAATATGTGATCCTAGTTGAGTTGGTCTGTCTATTACAAAAGCACAAAAGTATGATATCCATATATTACATGTATATTTTGTGAATTAATAAATAGTGTAAGTATATCCTATGCAAAACATTTTATTCTATGTTGTCATTAAGAAAATGTAGCAGATACAAAATCTGAAATGATTTCCTGGATACATTTCCGTAATTATGGACGGTAGCAGTATCACAGTATGCTATGAATATGAATAAAAGTCAAAATGTGTTTGTTTAGCATCAAATAAAACTAAAGCAACTTATATTAAAGGGACAATTTAGTTCAGTTTTATTTATAACCTTGTCACAAAACTCTTTATGATTATATAGTTTGATACTCCCTATGAACAATTCATGTCGAGAAATTAACAAGAGACAATGTTTTATTGGTGTTTTTAAACCGTAATGGAGAAATCCTTAACTGTATAGCCGTACGTTTTAGCGACAGCTGTCGGTGAATTTCTAGCTAACAGTCTTTCCAGTCGAGGAGAGAAGGTAACATCTCGCTTTATTCGCCTAGCCTCTCTAAATACAAGTATATGCATGATATTTATAATTCTTAATTGCGATGTATTGTGTACATTCAAGAATGAGTTATGTGTGAACTCAGACTCGGAGCTGACACTGTGTTGTCGGTCGACAGCGTAGTGCTGTACATGTTTACTTCTTACTAAATGGCCTGGATATTGCCCTATTTCGGTCGTAGCTATTTTTATTACCGGCTTTCCAAAAAGATGAAACTGACCACACTGGACGTTTGCTTCAGGTCATGTCGTTATCAACTACATAAACTTTCGTTAGGAGATACATATTTTCAGTATCAACTTGATTTTCAGGTAATCAAAAAAACTTACTTCACTTACTTACTTGACAGCTGAGTAAATGTATGGAAATAAATTATGATTTCAGACTGACTGTTTGAAAATGATTGCTCATATATGTTTGACTAATCTTACTATACACTTTTTCATAAGACATACATTCAGAAGAGGATACTGTACCGTAAGCATATATCCAATAAAAGGAGGTTAAAATCATATTTAAGTGACTTGTCTGTTTGGAAAGGACATCTTCAGAAGCTCCAAAGTGACTATTTTTTTTACTTTTCTCCGGCATACACAACTGGATGGGTAAAGCAGTGTATATATACTGTATGCACTCTCAAACCGCTTGTCAGGTGAAAACTTGCTAAGCCCCAGTTGTCAAAAGTACAAAGAGTAATAGCTGATATCAACGAAAATTTCAGTTGCAAGATGTTTTGGGTGTGGCCTAAAAACAGTTTATTGCAATGTTTCAAGGCAACGACCAAGACCTTCGACCCTCCAAGAAGAGGTAGACAATGATCTAGCCACCACCCTTCCTGGAGACCACCAGATGTGGCTGCTGCATGCACATACATTCTGTACACACAACTGGGATTGTTTCTGTAGCTGTGATAGCTAGAACATTGTTTGGTTACTGTGTAAGTGGACAAACCATAAGAAACCAAAAAAAGTGCACAGTATGCCACAAGAAGGCCTTGTACATATCCTGATATAACTTGACTTTATTGTACCAATCGCCTTCAATTAGGCCACCAAGCTTAGAAGCTAGCACAGGTTCAGAAGTGGTACAACACTCCTACAGGTAGTAGCTTCTTCTGTCAATACACCTGTAATATAAACATTTATATTATAGATGTATTAAGTCCTATTGACAGACAAGGCTGGTACCTGTGGATCCCCCCGCTCGCACCATCTGACGTTTCAATACAGTGAAACTAGCCAGAGATTTTCCTACAATAACATTTGGGGCTGAATAATGGCCCCAGCTTTCCCATTGGAAAATTATTTGGTTATAATTGCCAATTTGTTGTTATAAAATTCTGAATTGGAAGGTGCAATAAATTTGATGGGCAATTTCCGGAAAAAATGGTGAAAAATCCCTGCTAGCTAATGGTTGCCACACAATCCACTAAGCGCATCACTTACATGTACCAGGTATACAAGTTTAAAGCTGACAATGTAAGTTAAAAAGCTTTTAATTAACTGAGATTAAAAAAAAATATCTGATTTTGAGATCTTCCCAGTGATTATCTCTTCCGGCTATCGTTTCTAAGGAAGTGCGCCGACATTTTAGTAATTGCCCTTGCTTGGTAACGAGTATGGGTCTTGCTGGGTATAAAAAGCGCATTACCTCTCAAACCGGTTATCATTCTACCACTGACCATCTTATGATTCAATACACTGCGCACCCTGATCGGCAACCGTTATCAAAAATCAAACTCACTAACCTGAAACACTGCACAGCTGGTTGTTACCTATATATAACTAAAAATACTTCAATAAATCCCATATCATCGGTCTTTCACATGCATAGATTCACACCCACACACGAAAACTGTATTATGAACTCTTAAGACTTGGTTGTGTAGACGCCTTGACTAGCAAGAGTGTTCAAAATGTGACACTCCCAGGTTTGTAGTCAACAATGTGAAATTTGATATTTGAACTGTTCTCATGATCATGTATGTTAATTTAAACTAGTATTGGTTCTCATGGAAATAATTAAACTAGTATTGTTTTCACACAGGATGTTATGACTAGTTGGATATCTAAGAGGTAGGCATCGGCGTTAGTCGTATGTTTATTGTATGATTGTGCATTAGATATTTTAATTGGTCATTATTATAATTTCCACTTTTCTTAGATAAATGGTATATTTGATATGTTCCATTTTATTCAACTGTTCTGATCAAATATTTTGGTTCAAAATCGTTAGTGTTCTATTTATATAGTATAGTAGTGCCACCTTGCGAACACGTTGAACAAATGATAGCCGGTTTGATGGGTAATGCAAGTACCTAAAGCGAGACCCATATACATTATAAAATGTCAGCACTTCCCTAGAAACAACAGCCGGACGAGATTGTCACTGGGGAAGATTTCAAAACCAGAAAAAAACACTTTTTAAAAAAAATCTCAATTGGAAGCTTTTTAATTTGCACTGTCAGCTTTAAGCCCCCAATGCCACCAGTCATGAAAATATCACTGAACCATGAGGAATTGTTTTACAGATACTCAAATAGCAGACATTCCAATATATCACTTGATACCAAAATAAACATGTTGTTACAAAGGTGACAAAAATGCCGCGGTTACAATTTTTGTTAACATTTCTTTTCTTTGGCTAAGTACAACTTACAACAGTAGCACCTGCAGCTTGTGTATATTGTCTGATTGTTACCGCGACATTGTTTAACCGTGCATTCAAGCTAGTCACGAGGTTACCTTCTCTGAGCGTCGAGACCCCATAGTCTGATTTGACGATCATAAAGAGCCGCCTCGTCCTCTGTTATTGCTTGTTGTTCTCCCATTATAAAGTTCTGCAAGTGACAAAATGAAACAAGCTTTCATTCCCATCCGAATCTACCGGGCACGATTGTAACGATTCTTTTGATTGGATCAATCGTTCCGGTCTGTCCAATCAACACCGTTTTTACATATTTGAGAAAAAGACCTAGCAATTATTTAGTTTCGAATCTGTACTGTGTTGCATGAAAATATAAAAAAGCTCACGTAGAATATTTAAAAAGTTGACATAAAATTTACCATTTTCATACAGAAACACCACTTTATGACATTAGATGCATGTTTTATTGAAATTACCAACTATGATGGTTCCAAATGTTACTCACACTGTTTCGTACAAAGCATGGGTTGCAATGACACTCGANGGTTCATAACTGGATCGTATGGGGTAGTATTGGGTAGTATTGGGTGGTATTGGGTAGTATTGGGTGGTATTGGGTAGTATTGGGTAATTAGACGCGCCCCTCGACTGGAGCCATGTGAAATTCGCTTGATCAGTTGATTTTTACAGAGACATGTATTGTTATGTATGTCTCTGATTATTAGAAGCTTCAGTTGGCGAGGAAGATAATTAACACTCGCAAAATGAATTTGAGATTCTCCAACTGGTCATCATGCCTAAAAAGTTTATGTAAACCTAACGGATTGCACATAACGTTAGGGATCAGACGTCAGGTAAGCTACAACGCTCGTCATCTGTCACTCATTATCGAGTTTTGTTTAGTTCCATAGAATCAGAGAGGTATAGACATATGATGCACGTAGATAGAAAAAAAAACAGTTAGTACATGTCATATTGATTATATTCGTGTGTAAATAAAGGTTTATGTGAGCAATGCAGGCCCATTTGGCTTCTTGTTAATTTGTGTTTTGGCATATGACTTTAAATATCAGTGGGTTGAAATTTTGGGTGGATATTATAACATCTTTTAGGGGGCTTGTAGATGTTTATCATTGCAATATTTGGTACTTGCATCCATTAATCCCCTGCTTCTGATGTTTAGTCAGGAATATTAATGATATGTGTACCAAAACACCCTAGTCCGAATTATTCTGACGTTTTATCGACCTTTTTCATATCGGTCTGTCGTCAATTAACGTCAGAACTCCGGCCCTCTATAATATGCGGGAAATATGCGACCCGCGCCGGAGCGCACTTCAAACTGATATTTTAGAAACAAATCGTCACTTTCACACACATGTCGCACATGGATCGAAAGATCTATTCTTTATGCACTAGGTGGTATCAATAACATGTTTCAAAGATCATTACGAAAAGTATTTTCCAACGTTTTCTATACCAACCCATGTTTTTTATGGAAATTAGGCCATGAGAAATGTCACATGACTTGATGAGATCTGGCGTTACCGAAGGTATTTCCCAACGTTATGACGTAGGCCAGCGAGATTTTAGTCACGTGGCATTGGAAGGCGGGGCTATCAAAAAAATAGAGTAAAACAGAGTAAGTTTGAAAAAATATGTTTTTAGTGATTGTATTAATTGTTTGAGGCATGTTATGTATATTCATCTTGTGCATGAAGAATAGATCTTTCGATCCATGTGCGACATGTGTGTGAAAGTGACGATTTGTTTCTTAAATATATGTTAACAAAATTGAAATTTATCAGCTTCATAAAATTAATAACTATTAGTATACATTTTAAATTACTTGTTTAGCATCAGATGAACATGTAAAAGATGTGGATTAATTTGGTTGCCTTACAAGTGTCAGCTGTAGGAAATTTCCCTTTAGCTCAGCGGTAGAGCATCGGGCTGGAGAGCCAAGGGTCGCGGGTTCGAGCCCCCTGGGACGGCACTATCGTTATCACTATTCCTCGTCCTATTACACACATTTACTGAACTTTCGTATTCTTGAACTGTTGCACCGTTTTGTTTTGTTTAGTACAATGTACATATACACAATATACCGCCAGTTCATCCACAGGTACTTGCCTCGTCTGTCAATACACCTATAATCATATTAAAGGTGTATTGACAGAAGAGGCTAGTACCTGTGGTTCAGCCAGTTGTGACATAGCAGTTCAAGTTCTAAATATTACCGGTATATATTAACTCGTTAAACTTCTAACATTTTCAGAGTTTTGTACCATAAACTATTATTCATTTGAGTTTTATTAAGATTGTTTTAAATTTGCAGAATATACATGTATGTACATGCTGACATTGATAATATTGCCAACAAAAATCTGTTACAATGAAACATGTATACATTGTGTTGTTATTGGTAATGATAAACTGTTGTTTTCAACTCTGCAGGCATTATGTTCTACAACCACAGACCATATTGAGAGTTCTGGATGGGATGAATCAGACTTGGTGCACAGAGGTATTTTTTGTATATGTATTGAATCGTTAACCACTTCCATCTGAAATTGATAATAATCTATCCTAAGGTATCAGTAGGGATTTTTACTCCATTTTTACTTTTAACCTAGATATATAGATATGCTTTCATGCATGATTTGCATGAATTCAAGAAAGTAAAAACGATTAATTTTCTGGAATTTAATGTGCCTTCCGAACATTAAGATTAACTTCAAGTTTCTTTGAGTTCATTTTTTTCATCCGATAGTGGGCTATTCAAATCACCCTGCATCTGTGGTCCGTCGTTCGTCCTGACACAATTGTTGTTATCGGTATTTTTCAAGAAGTACTAGAGGGATCTTTCTCAAACTTTATATGTAGGTTCCCCTTGGTCCTTAACTGTGCAGGGCAACTTTTGAGACTGATCAGCTAAAAAACATGGCCGACAGGCAGCCATCTTTGATTTTGATAGTAAAAGTTTGTTATCGGTATTTCTCAAGAAGTACCAGAGGGATCTTTCTCAAAATTTATATGTAGGTTCCCCTTGGTCCTTAGCTGTGCAGGGCAACTTTTGAGACTGATCGGATAAAGAACATAGCCGACAGGCAGCCATCTTGTATTTTTATAGTGAAAGTTTGTTATCGCTATTTCTCGGGAAGTACGGGAGGGATGTTACTCAAATTTTATATGTAGGTTCCCCTTGTTCCCTTGTTGTGCAGCAGTGCCTGAAAAGGGCGGTCACCTTCTCGCCAATGGCGGTTAAAGTCTTGCTCTAATGACCAAAGGTTGTCAAAAGTGAGGTAGTCACTGGCCCAACAAAAATAGTTTGGGTGACTGTCGAAAAATTAATGAATAAAAGAAATTATAGTCCCTTCCACATTAACTGGGGGGCAGTACATTTTTCAGTTGTCATTACTTCGATTTGAATCGAACCGTCCGAGATTTAGAAAATGTGATTTTTCTATATAAAATACTGTCAGGGTGTCTTCTTTGAGGTGCAAGTTTTGTGTATTTCTTTTTGGGAAGACATGAATGGAGTGGATCATGTCAGGTTTTAACTAGGGTTGAAGAATTAAAAATATAATGTTTTATTCTGTTTAACATATTACAAACATTGTGATGTTATATGTAATTTAAGTGAGCTGAAGCATTGTGTTAAATGCTGTGGAAATATTTCTTCCCAAAATTATTTGGGCATGAGGGATATTTCTCAAATTTGATATGTAGGTTCCCCTTGATCCCTCGTTGTGCATTTTATATTTTGAGACTGATCATCAAAACAAAATCGCTAAAGGAAGAACTAAACAGATCTTTCTCATATTGCAATGATCGATTATATCTCTTTCACATTAAGTACTGTACTAGTAAATATGTGAAATGACAAACTCACTTTGAAGGTTGGCTTTCATACACATCAAGAGAAAAGATCGAACTGACAAAGAACTAATGAAAATGGTACAATGGTGGGTGCCAAGATCCCTCTTGAGTTCACTTTTTATACGCCCGTCAAAGACGGGGACGTATTATGTTATCACGTGAGCGGGCGGGTGGGTG